ATTGTTGTTGGGGGGGGGTGGGGGGGGGCAGGGACTCACGCATATTATGCAAAACAGCAGTAATAATACAGGAGAGGGGGTAAACTCACCCCCCCCCCAGCCTGCACATCTATTCATATCCCTCCTTATAGGTCTCTTATTTCCAACTTTCTTTCCATCTTTTCTTTTTTCTCCTCTCCTCTCCTCACCTCTCCCTCGCTCATCTTTCTCTCTCTCTCTCTCTGTTCTTCTCCGCTTCCTTCCCCCACCACCTCTGCCTTGTTTCTGCCTCAGTTTTGCCAGCTGATGCTCCAGACAGAGAAGTGTGCGCCCCGGTACTTGGCGTGGTTCACTGGTGCCTCCATGTTGGGAACTTTCTAGATTTGCGGCCTGCCACAGGTCACCAGTGGCCACCGACGGCCACCCGAGCCACAAACCAGACCCTGCCAGCCTCTAACTCGGTGCTCAATCGATTCACTAACTGAAGTCTTGCATTAGCTGGCAATTGACGCATCAGGGTTCTGCTGAGACCCTCTGAAGGTGGTATCATGGATACTTGCTCCGGAGCTGGGCAAGAGAGATAACGACTAGTCAAGGGAAATGAATCTCACATCCATACTAATTTATTACGCTGAGCAGGGCCTAACTCCAAAGCAACTGTCCTTCGGGTCTGCATACACTTATCGTTCCAGCCAATGAGAGCCCTGTGCAGGTTTACCATGTGACACCTGTGCCTCTATAGGTAAACAGAGCTACAAGATGGGCGTGGTGGCCACTGTAACTCCTTTGGGACCTCAGCCTGTGTGGGGACCTCTGTTTAGCAAAGACGTGGGTAATTAGCATCCCCCGCCCCCCCCCACCCCCACCCCGTGTGCCTGAGGCAGAGAAGAGGGGTGACAATTAAGAGCAAACGAGAGATAAAGGAGGGAGATAAACGGATTGGTGTCATTGCGACTATCAATCTCACAGAGGAGCGGAAATGAGGTTTACATCAAAGAAATATGATTAAGAAGCAGACAGTGATGAACGAGGCCAAGGGGAAGGGGGTAAGGGGTAAAAGATTAAGAGGGGGATGGTGGGGTAGTGAAAAGGAGAGGGGGCAAGACTGAGGAGGAGAGGAACGAAGGATCGGGGAACAGAGAACGGCAGAGGGGATGTGAGGGAGAAGGCAGGGCTGTGGGGTTTCCGGCAGGATCGACATAAGCTCGCATTCTGCCACCCCGCTGCAATGTGGCATCCTGCCAGACGGGGGAGCTGTTCCTGAGACGTGCGGTGTGTGGTTTAAAAACGCCTGGCGAGTTCCGGTTAAAGGTGTGTTATCTCTATTCCCAAATTCCCTTCCGCAAATCCTCGACAGAAACCGCTTCCCAAATTTAGCGCGATTATCTCTTAATTCCGAGAAAGAGCGTGACATACGGAGAGGTACACCTTGTTCGGGACGTCTGCCTGTCAGCGTAATCCCTGTTACGGGCAAAATAGCTCGCAAACACGCTTGATATTTGTGAGAACGTAATAGCTTAGTCAGGACCAAGCTGTAGGTACGACTCAGTTCTGCTGATCCCCCCCCCCCACCCCCCGCAGTCAGAGTTGGTCTGGTCCACTATCAGCGGCTGTGCCCCTGCAGAGTGAATCATTAAATCCCATGTATTGCAATATCTGCCTGCTCCTGGGTCTTGGCTCTCGTAGCACAAGGAATGTGGGGGTTCAGGACACGGAGGGGGATGCTAGGCCCCGCAGCCCCAGACTAGAGTAATTTTCTGCCTGGGTCCCAGGCTCTGTGCCCTGGGGCATATGGGCTTTATTGGTCTGGGACATGCTCCTGCTGGGAGAGTGATGTGGCTGTTTGCATTTGCCATGTAAGTCGGTACGAAAAAGGGCAGACAAAACGTGCGCGCGTCTGTGCGCGAGACGGACAAAGAGATATGGAGCCATTGTGCGTGTTTTTAGTGCGCGGTGGTGCTAATGTTAGCGTGGGAGCGTGCTGGTGTGTGTCTGTTTGTGAAGGTGCGTGGGGTGGCGCCGGTGAAGAAGAATGAAAAAATGCGAAAAGGAGGGCAAGAAGAACGGGAAAAAAGAGAGGGAGGGAGAGGTGGAGGATGGAATGGTGGCGGGGGGGGGGGGGGAATTGCACGGCAAGATAGAGATAGAGAATGTTTTGACAGAGGAAGGAGATCAAAGACGTTTAAACGTTTGAGACAAAGGCAAAAGGGAAAGAGTGAGGAAGAAAAGGATGGATGCGGAGGAGAGGGAGACAGATGTTTGGTAATTTAGTTATTTACTGCTGAGTGAGTCAGTTCAATATGTCTCCGGATAGTTTGAGTTTGTTCATGCTGGGTCTGTTTTATAATTAACATAAATGGGAGAGAGAAAATCTGGAAGTATAATTAAGATTTAGACGTCCATCTTCACAATATGATTTCTATATGTGTATTTATGGTTATTTTGGTACATATATGCAACATATGTTTCATAGTGTATCTGGATGCTTCTTAATATACATACTTGACCATACTTGTGTTCTCATGGACCCGTTTTATGTCGTCTTCCACTGCTGAAGACCAGTTTCATTACTAAGAACACAAGTACAGAGGATCTTGGTCTTGCTCCACCCCAAAAATCAAGGATACCTCAGTTGCATCCTCACCAAACGAGACCAATCCCATGATTCATTGCGCCCCAAGTTCGTTCTTGGGAGACAAGTTAGTGAGACCGGTCTTGCCAAAACCACGAGTATGGTCTTTGCGTTCTTGGTATTCCGGAAACACCCTCTGTGTTTCAGTTGAGACAGAGTCCATAACTTGTTGGACTCCATGCATTCCATCGCTTGGAAACGGGCATCACTGTCACCCAATGGGACAGTTGTGGTTAACAGTGTGGCCAGTGAGGTTCACTGTATCCGCACTGGGTGTAGCCAGTGAATCCAATTGATCAGAGCTGTATAAACCGGCTGTGAGGAAGCACAATAATCGACGCTCTTTAAACTAGGCTGGGCTTGTTGTCCCATCTCTACACACTCACTGTTTCTTTATTGCTGAAGCTGTTTCCTCACTGACCTCCATCCTGTCCCATTGTCGCTCATCTTGTTGAACTTAACGGCGACATAAACTGAATGGTTTTCTGGAACCATGTTTCTGTTAATCAGAATGTGATTTTTTCTTTTCTTAACCCATATTTTGTCAGGGCTTTTCTGAGATCCGATATGACTTTTGACATTTTTTTTAATAACCTGCCACTGTCTCAGTCATGGGTTCCTACTCATGGCCGTGAAACATGCAACAAAAATAAACCATAATTATGATAATAAATAAACCATAATTATGATAATAGTCAACAGGAATAAAGGGAAGCATGATAAGGGAGAGAGAGGAAGGAGAGAGGTCAACCTTCTGAGGTGAAAGCGGTTAGCATCCCCTCCCGAAGAAGTCACACACCTGCCCTGGAGATGCAGCATGCCTCTGTGGGGAGGGGGGGGTGCTGATGGACAGACCGCAGAGAGCACAAGGAGATATTGTTTCTCTTCTGTTCAAGGTCACTGGCAGAGGAACGTGCCAGATCGCTCACTGGGAGACTCAACAACAGGCTCATAAGAGCCGACACAGGCCCCTAAACACACACACACACGCACATGTAGGGTAAACATATCCTTATGGGGACCGCTCATTCATTTCAATGGGGAAAATGCTAACGCCAACTATGACAACCTTAACCCCTACCCAGCCCTAACCATAACCATAACTAACCTAACAAAATACAAGAGTTTTTGCATTTTTAGTTTTTTCTTAGCAGTCACCGATTTTTATAAAATAGAGTTTTCCCTTATGGGGACCAGGACACTGGTCCTCATAAGGGAAAAAAACAGATATTTATCACGTTATGGGGACATTGTGTCCCCATAAGGATAGGTAAACCCGCTCGCACACACACACATGCGCACACACACACACACACACACGCATACACACACATGCACGCACTGGATTGTAATTATATCTTTGTGGGGACTCTCAATTCATTTCTATGGGGAAAACTCTAATCCCAACATGACGACCTTAAACCCTACCCAGCTCTAACCTTAACCACAAGTAACCAAACAAATTATGAGACTTCTGGCATTTTTAGATTTTTCATGGAATCCACAGATCTTTGAAAAATCAAAATAATAGATCACATTGTGGGGGACATTTGGTCCTCACAATGCAATATAAACACAATACACACACACACACACGCACACACATACTACGCCTGGAAAGACCTCCTGATTCGTGTGCTGTTTGCTGGCTGCCTGTCCTTATGGACCCTCCCTGACACACTAATACACACCCCCATTATATGAAGCTCTGATGGTCTGTGTAGATCAGTTGGACCTTTGAACACCATGTCACACGCGCAGCTATGTGTCTACGAATGGCTGCTCTGCCTCCCTGTCTGCATCCCTCCCCCTCTTTCCCGTCTCCCGGTGTGGGAGGCTGTGCAGATGCCGCCCCGCTTGGGGTTGGCCTTCAGCGGGACCCCCATCCCCACCCCACCCCGCTACACATCTGCTCGCTAACAGAGCACACCCCCTGACGCATCAGCCGGCTCGATGACACCCCAGCGGTCTGTGACACGGAGACCCGCACGCTGGTGCGTTCCCTCCCCGGAGCGGCCGATACTCTGAAGGCCGCGAATCCGAGCGACGCCATTCAGACTGGCTTTGTCAAGAGGAGTGTCGCACTAACAAGGAACATGGTAATGGAGTCAGCAAGACACTGTGACGACAGCGTTGAGGCAGCGCTTAGGCAGTGCTGAAGCAACATTAAGGCAGAGTTGAGGCAACATCGAGGCAGCGTTGAGGCAGCACTGAGGCAGCATTGAGGCAGAATCCAGGTTATGCTAAAGGAGCATTAAAGTAGCACTGAGGCAACATTAAGACCAAATTGAGGCAGTGTTGAAGCAGCATTGAGGCAACATTAAGACAGCGCTGAGGCAGGGGGGAAGCAACATTAAGGCAGCTCTGAAATGCAGACAGGGAGCCTTACTTTTCGTAGTCGTGCTTGCAGTACAGCAGGCGGTCACGACAATAGCAGGTCCCACTAAGCGTGCTCAGGCACACGGCGCACTTCACACAGGTCTCGTGCCACGACCGCTCGTTGACGCGCAGTAGGAAGCGGTCCGCAATGGGCGACTCGCAGCCCGCACACACCTCGCCCGCCGTGCCATGATCCGAGCCTGGACGGGGGAAGGGGGGGACGGAAGCGTGAGGGAGAGGTGACCATGACAGGAGAAACCGGTAAGAGGTCACCCACAAATGCTCAGCTCCTCCTGAACTGTAAACAGACTCATAAAATGACAGTTAAACTTTAACCATGTAAACTTTTTGGCATGTTTTCAACATACATAAACATACAGGCCTAAATCAGTGGATAGAAAATCCAGCACATGAATAAAAACACAGTAAGTGTTTACAATACTGTGGGATTGGTTAGGAAAAACCCTGTGATCAGTCTACCAGTTATGTACAAAAACATAAATCATTTGTTTTGTTTTCAATGTTTTTTTTTTTTTTTTAACAGAGGTCCCGTTGGTCACCATGTGACACCAACCACGCAGACGAGAAAGGCAGCTTTTTATATGCAACAAAAACAATGCTGAACAACGAAAATTGGTTTCAGTAATTAGGCGAATTATCCCTACAAATAATTCGCTACAAATATTGGCTCATATCAAGTTGTAACCCTTAAAATGTCTCACCAAAGGGCGTGGTTGATGGAGCCTGCTGAAGACAAGACTGCGTCTCTTCGGTTTTCATCCCGGATCTCCTTACGCCTTATTCTCCCTGAGAGAAAAAAAGAAACACGGTATCATGTATCGTCTATAAACAGTTAGGTGAGCAGAAGCTGGACGCGAAACGGGTTTAAGGTAACTATTCAAGCTGCAGCGTAAAACAACCGACAACAATGTGATTATAAGTATAGAAGTGAGATTCCTAAAGATAAATCACAACGTCGTTATTATTATAGACTATACCAGCGGTAGTTAACAGCCCTGAGAGCATAGGTAGCGCGCAAAGTGCTCGTTAGGGTAGTTTCTTCTTATATTGCTCATTTATTTGTTTACTTTCCTTAAAACCTCGAGTCGGGAGACAATAGTACAATCGAAGTCATTTCGGAATCTCCGCCAAGATCTGGCGGGATTGGGTGAAACCCTTGACCTCTTGTCTTATATACCTAGTGCACAAATCACAAAGCGACCCCGCCATAAATGACCATTATGATCAATAAATTGGAGATTTTTTCCCTGATATTTATTCTTTCTTATAGGAGACTTAGCAAACGACGCATTTTAATTACGATTATATTAATACTACAAAAAACTACTTTGTAGTTTCCCGCTATTAACCATGCTGTTAACGTTAGAAATGCATCGCTTCATGTTTTATAATAAATGTATTTCGTGTTTTTTCCGTTGTGCATTCTTTTTGTTAAAAAATACAAAACAAAACGATACAAATTGATTGCATGATATATCGTTGAAACATTAAAACACCATTAATTATTTTTTAAATATATCGTTAATATATAGGTAAATAAAATGCTTCAATCATTCAAATAAGTACCGTTTTATTTCCAAATATAGAGCATCACCGGTCGATAGAAAACAAATGCGTTAATAAAAAGAAAATCGCTATGAAAGGTAAACGCCAAAATCCTTATGAAGAAATTAAAATAAATCTCAAACAAATACCAAATGCTAGAAAGAAAATCTAATTTTATAATAATGCAAGTTTGGTAATTCAATGGTAATTCATCAAACTGGTATGAAAATGAATAAATATGAATACCTTAATTGATATTTATTAACCATCAATAAATATGAATATATTATTTTGCCGAGGTGTCGGAAATAGTGATTATTTGTGATCTGCAATGCCCTTCAGGATTAATACAGCATCATCTATCTATCTATCTATCTATCTATCTATCTATCTATCTATCTATCTATCTATCTATCTATCTATCTATCTATCTGTGTATAATCAGTAGGATAACATTATGTAATAATGAATTGTTCATTATACAATATAATGTGAAGTTACCTGGTCAATGGTAGAAAAAAAACATATAAATTATCGCATTTTTAATAGGTGTTCAGTTCACTATTCGTTTAACATTGGTAGGTTAAGTTAAAATTTGGTATAATTGCAGAAGTGCGTTAATGTCGATTAAGCAGTTCTGGATGTTTAATTTGATCAAATACGGTTTTCTTCAGAAAATAAGACACAGCTTTTGTATGGGAAGAAACGCTCCCGTGCTTATATAGTACCGCAAAGTCTAAGGAGCAATGGGTTAGATTGCTAGCTCATGCAGAACTTGGTCGAACACAAAGCGATGAACATGAGCGTCAAATGTTTTGGGTGGAAATTCTTACCGATGGAATCGAGTTCATTTAGTTTCAAAGCTACCCATTTTCTATCCACTATTCAGTTTGTTCTAATTGGAGATATTAGGACAACAAATTGCGTTAACGGCTTAAAATTTTGCACGTGTGGTCGAAACCATAGGTAACTTCATTACAAAACCTGGACACTTCTCTACTGCCTTAATGGGGTTTACCACGGTCGCTAGACTTGGTATGTAACAAGTTAAAATACCACGTGTGGCTTGTTACACATCTCCTACCTAAGGCAGCGATCACTGAAAGATGAAAAACACCATAAGCGAAATGTTTATGCAAAGATGAAACAGCTGCTGAGAGATAAGGTGAACGTCATTGGTAATATCGACAGGTTAATTAATCATTTTCATAAGTCAACAGCCCATTAAAACAAAGGAACCATTAAGAAAGTAGACTTACTATATTCTCATGTTTTACAGTTATTTGATGTGGAATCTCGTAATCATCTGTATAGTTTTCGTTTCAGGGGCCATAAAGAGCAGCGGTTGCGTTTTAAAATTCTGACACGGCCAAGTGCGAGAGTTAGAGCGCATTTACTTCAGGAAAACTCAATTCGCAGGAGAGTCAAACCAGAGACTGTTTCGTTGCAACACGTTCGACTGATGTCTCAATGTAACAAGTCGGTTTAAGTGAAATATTACATCCGTTTTACTATGACTGGTAAGTAAATTACAGTAGATTAGCAACTCTTTACCTCTTTTAGTAACACATATTGATTTTCATGCATCTGTTTACATCTTTGAGTAGTTTAAGTACATCAAATTTGACAGCATTTGACAGCGTGCCAACTAATTACGGACATAGACAAATTTTATTTTATTCTTAAAATACTGGAGGGTTGTTAACTAATAATTAAAATAATTAAATAATGGGATCGAAGAGCCACTTGCCCTTAATATTTTATTTTATGAGTAAGATCACGATAAATTAATTCGATAAATTAACATCCATGTGTGTTTCATACCTAATCTAGACCCATAAATACCTTTTATTCACATGTACTTAGTTTTTACACTGGTGATTAAAAAGTAATTGTGTGTTATATATTTCCAAATATTTATAGATGGCTGCAAAATATGTCCATCCCTGAAATCAAATGTAAATAAAATGCAAATGAATAAACACAATAATCACAGTACAAAGATCATAATTAATAAAACAATAATATGTTGTCTTTGGTTCGAGCAGGTTATAAAGGGACATAGAAACACAACAATATTTTATTTAACGCAGTGACATCAAACATCGGAGGGCTTGGTTAATGATTGTATGTCTGGGTTTTAAGATAAATTATTTCCACCAGTTTGTTTACGGAGGAAAATTGAATTCGAACTACCTGCAGTAAAGATGAAAGCAATGCAATATTACTAGCAAAAATCAATTAATGTTTTGAGAGTGTTGTGGATACTTTTAATTATTCAACAAGTTGTCTATGGTTTATTCGGCTATTGGCGTGCATTTGAAACAGCTAGGAGTATCTATAATCTGTTACACAAACCCCAAAACTGGGTAATCGCGCACATGTGTGTGTGTGTGTGTGTGTGTTTTACGGTAATAGGTAAAATGCCGACGCAAGTGGTTTAATTGAAGGAATGATAGGTGTGCTGGGGAATTAATTTAACGACATAATGTAGGTTTTTGCCATGTTATTGCCATCGCGCACATTATTCCAGATATATATTTCCCTAGGAGCTACACAACGCGGAAAATGCGCTCGTTATATAATTATTTTTAGTACGACGACAATTAACATCTGTAGCTGTTATATTAACTAGAAATATAATGATAGTCGTCAATCAACTACGGCAATATAACTTTAGCTCAGCCGATTAAATGTGATCAATTACGTATTTATATGCCCGTGTGTCATTCAGTAATAGCGAATAGTTTGTGAAATATTTAAAAATATGGAATAACCTCATTTGTAGAATGCTCCTATGGGCAATATTCACTTGGATTGGAATTGCCTATTTTCAGTAAATAATCCCAAATTCTATTTCACCCCGGACCCGGTACCGGATAAGCTATTGCAAAATGGTTGGATGCAAAATTCTATTTGAAATTTTTAAGGCGCATTAAAAACAGTAAGAAATTACAAGAGTATATCATACGCAGTATTTCGTATCACATCAAAGTTGAAATAGTATATAAAAATACAACCGGGCTGACAAAATACACATATTACTGTAAAAGAAAATAATGCATTGGAAAACATTCATATGTTTGAAAGCTTTACGCATAATATGTAATATTGCTTCTATAATCATTACGCTAGCATAAAAGAGAATAATTTCTCGAGTGACAATAAAACCTAACTCGTCCTGTGCAAATCACGACTGGCAAAAATCCACACGGCTCTCCCTTGCTGTAGAGGGATGAGCGTCAATTCGCGCACAGCGTCTGATGCGCCGATGTAACAGATCGCTTACTTGGGGGCTCAAATAGAGCTATTCCTGTAAACATGCATATACTGTGATTTTTGAAATGGCAGACAGCTTCTGTGTTTTCTCCATGATCGCTGCTAACACGAGAAAGAAGAAAAGACAATAATGGTAACTGTATATGAATTTAAGGAGGGCAAGTTCGCACTGTACCTCTCTACGCGCTTTGGATACCGACGCACTTACCTCGCGAGAGACAGCTCTCCTAGTAATTTCTTCAGGGTGTATAGAAATAGGGACGATAAGAAGGGTGCACCGTTTAACCTGAAGCAAGGCTGCCCTGTTATACTCCGTGTCGGGGAATACACTTATCGTCCTGTACTCCTCTCCGCTGTCTTTGCGCGCAGTTATAGACTCCGCGAGCGCGCACTTGCAGACAAAGCGAGAGGAGGGAGCACTGGGTGGAGAGGGAGGGGTGACTCACGGTATAAGAGGGACAGAGGAGAACCGGAGATGTGAAAGAAATAGTTGGTGTGCTTCGTATGCATGAAGTGAACATTTGTTCAAATTATTGACAGGTTTTAATCAGTTTTTGTTTTGTTTTTTCATGGCATCTAACTCACAGGTCAAAATCGCAGTGAGCTGTGGAGAGTATTAAAATATGTGGCTTTAAAGGTGGAAAATGACATCGGTGTCATTTCTTGGTGTTAAGTTACAGTGAATAAATTCAGCGAAAAGAATTCAGCAAGACGACATCATAGTCGCCACCCAGTTAACCTTATAACAGTAACATTGGCTTCATAAATAACATGATAATTAATATAAAAGTCGCACAGTTTCGGCGGGTTAATCTACGAGACAAATCCATCCATCCATCTATCTTCAAACCGCTTATACTGCTCAGGCTAATCGGAACAGGAAAAATGAATAATACCAATAAATAATAGGCTACAACGTTGATGTGAAACCTTCCAAATCGAACTTGGGGAGAAGCAGTAACAGGAGCGAAATAACTTACAATATTACAATATGTTTTTGATAAAGATGTACAGATATGACAAATATCAGTGGATATTACTTCATATAACGATTGTGGCAGGTGTATGCTGGGTCTGTGTTATAATCGAACGGCTAATTTGAAATGAATAATGATTTCGATATTAGTAGCAATTTCGTACTTACTAACGAGTTACAGATTCTTAAGTATCAGTGTTATTTGTACATTTTTTGAGAAAAAATAGTAACGCGTATTAACTTCGTCCTCTTATGCTGTGCATCTCACACAAAAATATATATCGCTGCACAAATTTATTTCGAATAATTAATCTTTCGGTTGCCCTTCCCAGTTCTCCAGCGGCTATGCACTACGAAGTAATCGAAATATTTTTTAAATCTTTGTAATTGGCAGAACTGTTATTTTCTTGAGCATTTTAAGTTTTTCATCCGAACAAATGCCGGTGGAAAAATCTTTCAAAAACGAATCAAAATAACAAGATCAGATAAAAAAAAAATAACCCCGACGTCATGACCAGAATTCTTGATCAAACGTCATTAAGGGTACATCTTGAACAGACCATCATGCACAAAGAACCATTGGTATCCGGGGCGAAAATAACTGACTAGGGTATTTTTTACTATAGTCTGAGTTATACAGGCCTACTCACGTGTTCCATAAGAACAATATATTTTTGTAGGCCACTGAAGTACCGCTATCGCGCTGCAATTGCTTACTAACGGACACACCACTGGGAATCAACTAATAAGTTTTATCTTCTCCGCGGGCTGTTTGTACTTTTGGCCCGTCCACGCAATTGACTCGGTTCCTGTTGTAACCTCGGGGGATCTCCAGCATCACCTGATACATTTCTGACGTCTGGCAACCCCTTGGTCTTTCATGTTCTAAGGGGGCACCTGCACAGACTTTGTAGTGACTGTTTAGTTAATTTAGTTACAAATATACTATTCCGTGCAATTACTATACATTCAATTTCTGTACCAGCCAAAACATGCTGTGAAACGGAAGCTGAGAAAACTTTACAGAGCACTACCAGATAAGGAAAATGTCAATTACATCATCTGAGATGAATGGGCGGCTGTCACTGTACCCATTCTTGTCGGACGCATTTATTTTCTCGCCAGATTTAAGCGCGGTTCTTTAACATTGCCGGGTGAACACATGAGCGATGAATTCACAAGAAAACAAGTCCGGTTTAACGCGCAAGAAATTGACTCAAAATGTTCTAAAGACGCCTGCATGTGATTTTAGTTTAAATATGTATTAGTAACTTTATTTTTGAAGTATTAAATTAAAACTATACTATATAATCTACCGTAAGATACAGATGACCTGGCAAACTGGCTATTTATAGTTATCACACTTATTGTGTGACCTGCGTAATGTAACATATAACCTCTATTATACATATATTAATGGGTTAACATTAATAAGAATTTCTCTCACCGAGAAGAATGGCCTGTTCTTTCTGTATGAGGTGCGGTAGCCCGTATTAGGCCTGTCTGCTTTGCAACACTCGACATAATATCTTCCCGCCATAGGTATAAGGATGCTGCTTTTATGACTGCCTCGGGTATATGCCAAATATCAGGCATTTAAATTAAAAACATATAACACGGGTATAGCGCTACATTTGTGCATTTAATGTAAATTGCATTGTGCGTCACAATCATGTAGTAACAACGAATTGTAATATTGCATACTGTATTTCATAATAAGATTGTTGCGCTATATTATTTTCTTGTTCCTTCATATCCATTCTGTTTACATTAGAGTAATAGGGTTTGTGATATTATAACATAACATTGCGCATTATAGCAGGCCTACTATCAACAAAATTCTTTACACGAGAATCCAAAAGATGTCGCTTTGGCGTCCTCTGCTGGAACGTTTTTTTATGCGCCGTCAAATACTAGCACGTTTTAACGTTTTAACAGCACACAGTGTTAAGTTAATGTGGAGTGCAGAATATACTTTTATAGGCCTACAGACATTTCGGAAATAAACATTTTTTGGCCAATATCAGTAGATTGTGAAGGGAACGATAATCATTTAAGGATCGCACGGTCAAAATCGTCCATTTTCACATGCTTTAAACAGTAGGTTGAAGCAATGCAAGACTATTCGGGGAGAACTGAAACTGAAAATTATTGCGGTCCCTTATGTATATAACAGACATTACTATACTCTGGGTGTTATTTAACTTACCCTGAACCCAATAAAACTGTGGAGAGCTATACGTGTTATTTGTACATTTTGACACAAGGTGGCACCATTGCATTACAAGTTGTCGCTTTCGGCAATTTCTTTTTTCGTTCATGACGGTCCGTGAAGTCATACGAAGCAGTGCAATCTCCCTTATTCATGGTGCCTGCAGCCCGTCCCGGGCAACCTAGGGCACAAAGTATGGGATCACCCTGGATGGGATGCGAGTCCATCATCAGTCACACTCACCCGCCGACACACATTAATTTATTAACGTTTACGTTATCTTACCTCACGTTTTGATCTGCATATCTTTATATTTTACACTGCTTCATTTTTAACCAGAGTAACTTAGAGGGGACCTAGCAATAAAATTGCATCAAAAGATGGTTATAGTGTTTTAAAAAAAGTAATCGGTTCATAGTGGATGGTTTTAAGTGACGACTAAAAAGTTTCCTCTGTTACATTGACGTCCATCTGACTTCCGCTTATTTCTTATTTTAGGTGGCTAGTTTCCGGTTCACTTTTGGTTCCTCAAATTCATGTCCGAATCTAATAATAAAACCCATATTTCTGAACCATGCTAATCGCATAGTCAACCCAATTCAATTTATGCTTTTTCTTTTGTTGCACCTGACGTGCCTGTTCTACCATTTTTTTTTATAAGTGCGGGACTTTAAGACTGAAAGAAGACATCAGACGAGAAGTAAAAGTAACCGTTCCCTTTTACACGATAATTATTGCCCAACTGTATTATGCACTGCTGAGGGCAGCTTGCATTGAAACGCGGTCCCCAGTTTTGCGGACAGAATGCGATAACCTTGGTTGCATCACCAATATGTTAAATTCTCTCAATTCTAGAATCAAATATATCCTGACTCCATCACAAGCCATAGGTGGTCCAATAACATACTGCTGTGTATGATTAGTGTAACACAGGGTGCATATAGAGTAAAGCCTCTGGATTTACCCACCTCTGACATACTGTAGCTTCTTATTGGCCTGTAGAGCAGTTATGGGTGTTTTAGGGGGGCTTTAGCCCCTCCCCCCCCCAAATAAATGTGTATTTATTGGTTTACGTCATGAATAGCTCTTTATATTATATATAAGTTTGCAGGCGCCTCACAGTAAACACTCAGCCCCCTTATCCATTCATGTCTAACTGCGCCTCTGAGTGCAGTGGGGTCCCAAGGGGTCCCACAGCCAGTCCACGTATTTTTTGCATCCCTCCCAGTCTCCCGTGGAAGCAAAAACGGTGGACGGTCTGTGGGTCCCCGAGGACTGGTTTGGGAGACACAGCTCTCTGGGTTCCCTACAGTCGCTCTACTTGAGTTCTCTCTGCTCCATGCACCTTCAGCTACACACTCAAGTAGATCCAGTCTGGTGAAATGGCATTTCTAAAATACCCGTATTTTCTGAGTGTGCCTAACCCTGCTATGGACTGGCATCCCACCCGGGGAGGGGGCATCCCAGCCCGTGCCCTGTGCTGCCTGGCACAGCCTCCAGGTCCCTGCTACGCAGTGACAGGTCAGAGGCTTGAATGAGGATGATGGGATACTCGTACCGTTTCCCCTGAGTGAAACACATGTGCTTTTTACCCCCTGAAGAAGACAAAGGTGTGAATTTGTATTCATTTTTTTGTACATCGTGGAGACCAAGACCAAGATCGACATATCTCACACAAGGACTGTATCACAGGGTTGTATTTCCTAACTCTCTCTTCACACCGTTCAGTGACGCTGAGAGTGCGTGAAGTATCAAGACATCACCTCCATAAGTAAGAAGAACAGCCCGTAGATAAGTATTTAGGAGGAATTTTGTTGCTTAGAATAGCCTGAGGCTAATCCGTGAATAGGCCACAGCTATGTACTCAGGAAGGCAACCTGCACAGCTGTACCATCATTGCTGAACTAGCATAGTCACAATTCCTGATTGTCCAATCAGGACCCAGCTCATCTCAATAACCAATCAAATCCACTGCATGTCCCTTCATATATTCAAAATATAATGACAGGCAGGGATGTTTAAAGGAGGTGTTCTCTCATAGTACATCAGCATATCACACCCATGACTGAGTATAAAGTCTTTTTAATAATGTCATTTATATCTCAATATGAACAGGCTCAGCAGGGAACCAAGTACAATCATAGTTAAAAAATAAAAAAACAGTCTTAAAACTCGTGACTGTCACAAGAACTTTTTTCTCGTAACACCATCAATTTGGCTGGAGCTACAAGTCCAGGAAATACATCTGGGGTCCCTGAAAGGTTTGAATGCATATTTTAGGTGCTGCCCACCTACTACGTCATTGTCTGTCTACAGTAGGCTGCCCTCTCATCAGTTTAACCAATGTACTCAGCCTTTTTATATGGGCTGGAAAATTCCTTCAGTCCCTATGAGAAATGTTTGCCATGCCCCTTCTCAGTGTTTGCAGTCCGGGGGAGGGGGGGGGGGATAGAATACACATGTCCAGTTCTGTATGTGTGTATTCCTATGTGAGAGTCTCTGTATTTTTATACACTGCCCGGCCCAAAAAAAAAATTTAAAAATCACACTTTAATATTTCATTGTCCCGCCTTTAGCTTTGATTATGGTGCACTGTTTCCACATCTCAACATTTATCCAGATTCACATTCATTTCTCGCTGGGATCTTGTTGAACCACTCTGCAAAGTCTTCTACAGAATATGTCAAAAAGACTTTCAATGTGCTTAAGGTCAAGACCCTGTGGTGGCCAAATCATGTGTGAAAATGATTCCTTCTGCTCCCGGAACCACTCTTTGACAAATCGCGGGTGATGAATCTTGGCGTTCTCGTCCTGTAATATGCCCATGCTGTTCGGAAAGAAAAACATCCATTGATGGGATAACCTGGCCGTTGGGTAGATTCAGGTACTTAGCTGACTTCACTTTATTGCTGCATAATGTTGCTGAGCTGTAATAATGATCCAGTCATTGACTCTGAAGTACTTGCTGATTTAAAGACGTTTCTTTTTGTCCGGGCAGTGCATGTTGTTGCCAGTAGGGTTGTCACCCCACCCAAATCCAGCTTGTATCATGAGTCCATTTCCCCTCACACAAACTGGACCTGCTCTCCCTTTCCTGAGTGATTACGTTTCAGCTTCAGTCCAGACAGGATCTTTTGGGCGGTCCTCTCATCCGATGGGTGCCTCTTGATTTGCCGATCTGAGTCCCCCCCCCGGTCTCCTGGCTTGTTATTGGACTGATTGCTGTTCAGTTTGCCCAAAGAATGCCTTTTATCCTTTGACTCCGCCTCCCCGGAGTCACCCGGCGTACCATTGGACGCATCTGGCCCTGCCTCATGCTTGACTGGAGACAGGTGTGAGTGAGCCTGGATGCTGGGGGCGTGTCCGGCTTTGTGCAGCAGCCGCGCCGTCTCTGGGGTGATCTCCAGCCGGCGCCGGGAATGCCTCACGGCCCCATGCTCAGGGGAGGAGCTGCGGCTGCTGTTGGTGCTCCTGGGCTGGCCCGTCTCCCCTCTCTCCCGGCTCGCGCTCCTCTCCTCCCCCACTCCGTGACCCATTCGCAGGACCGTGGCGCGCAGGTGAGCGCTGAGCGCCGCGGGCGGGAGCTGGTACTTGACTGACTGCTTGCTCAGGTGTTCCTGCGGCTGCCCGGGGAGCGAGTCGGGGGCTGGGGCCGGGTCGCTTGGGGAAGGGGCCAGCGACACGCTCAGAGCCAGGACTGTGGAGGGATCGGGAGGGAGAGCAGAAGAACGGCGCGTCAGGTTCCGGGACGGAATGAAAGAGAGCGCGCCAAGCAGATACGAGCAAGTGACTAGTGAAAAGGAGAAGCAAAGGTGCCATGATTTTTTTGACACAATTTGGGTCACTCTATCCCTTATAAAGACTGCTGAATGACAGACAGACAAAAGATATACCCAGCAAGCAGGCCTCTCCAGCAACCTCCTACCTCACCTCTCAAAATTAATGCCCACCTCTCCTAGCCTACAAGCCCCGCCTACCTGCTCCCTCACTGGTCTCAGGGCTGAGCTGGTCCACCGCCTCATTGGACGAAGACTTGTCCGATATATAGCCCTCACTGGAGTCTCTCTTGAGCGTGTGATTCTGTCAGAAAGACACAAAGCCTGGATAACCATGGCAAAAACTATGGTGCCGACTGCTTTATGGCCGGGGTTATATAGACACCATTTAGAAATGGTTATAGAGACTCCATGGAGGTTTATCAGGAGTAAAACTACAGTGGACTCCACAGGGGTGGGGCGGAGATATTACTGCACCTATGCTCTGATCTCGCAGTGACACAACAGCGGCCAGCGGATTCATTTGTCGTGCATGTGTCTGAATACGAATTAATTAATAACCACGGCTACGTCTTCCAGAGCTGGAGGTAGACAGGGCTGAGTGGCCTGCAGGCAAAAAACGGCGAGGAATAGGAGCACCAGGCCAGGCCGGGCGAGCAGCAAGGCGACAGGGCCCGACGGCGCTAAGCAGCGCTAATCCGCGCTAATCCGCGAAACTCTCCGCCTCCTCCAAAGCCGCGAGTGACGGAGAGGAAGAGAACAGCTCCAGAACGTCTTTCCCCGGCAAGCAAGTCTCGAAAGCGAGATTATCACCATGGTCTGCCAGGCGAAACCTCCCGCTCTCATCAATCAGCTACTAACCAGATGGTAACCAGTACTTACCTTAATCGGGGGGAGGTTGATCGATCTATAAAGGTAAAATGTTAAGGACCAGGACATGTATGTATCGTTAAGCTATGGTAGGGCTGGAATCAGTAGTATAGTGGTTCAGGCTTGTGGCCCTTATGGGTTCAAATCCCAAATAGGTCTTTGCTTTTGTACAATAAACAAGGTGCTTAAGCTAAATTGCTCTAATAGTATATCCAGCCATGTAAAATGGTAAGAATAGGGTGACCACCTAATCCATGTCAGGAAGGACACTATGAGCTACTTCAGCTTTTACGAACTACTTTAAAGCTGAAATGGTTTTGTGTTCTGCTAAAATGTTTGGTTAGTTCCTAGATTGAAAGACTCATCCAGCTGTTTCGCATTAACATTACTGACACATATGCATGATTATAGGAGACTGACCAATCAG